ATTTTTAAGTACATGTGTATATAAAATGGCATTTAATTCGATATACAAACTATATAAAGAACGGAAAATATAAAATTATTTGAATTAACTTTTTAGATTTTAAGGTAAATAAAATCTTATAAAATTTAATTGTTATAGAAGATTATTCTTGTTTAGACTTTATTAGCGCAATTACATATAGATTACTAGTTAATATTAAATAGCTCAGAAGAGAAAAATTAATTAAGTGGTTGTACTCTGCTGGTTGCCGAATTTTGTATTTTATCAGATGTAATTTTCTCTTTTTTAAGAATTTTGGGTTGGAATTTTTTGAGATGTCAATACGATCTTACCGATAGACTGGTAGGCAGATGAAACATTTCAGATGAACCTAAATACAGGATGACCGTTTTCTAGGCTCCCAAATACGGTGGGATACCGGGAAATAATATGACAGAGTGTCTTGCTAGGATTAAGGTAGTTGGAGGGACTGATTGAAAAGAATTGGGGAATATCATTCAGGTAAGGAAATTAAAAAGAGGGGTGAGGTCTTGTGTGCGGGGCTCGCATGTGCTAGGTAGATTTGGCGCTTGGACGAAGGTGTTGTTGTGATATAGCAGGGAGGATCTAAATATATTAACGCGAGAACTCATGGAGCACTGTCTCTTTGGAAATATGACCAACACACTGCGAATTACTACAACGGATGTTTGTCAGGGAAAAGTACATATTGCGAATGTAGAAGAAGTGGAGCATATTTTTTGTGTCTGCCCATCTTTTGAGACGCGCTTTGAGAGCTTTCTTCTATTACAGTATTAAGGAACTATCGGTGGTGGTAAATGGCTTGGAGATTATTGTCGTCTTCAGTAGTGATGAACCGTGAAGCGACCCTCCCTTACTAGTACTAATACTACTAGTAATTGTCACATTTCTTTATTATACACTATCTTTAAATAATTGTACATGCTAACATGCTAACACTTTATTGACCGGTTGTGGTTGAGGCTGCCACTCAGTAAGTGCTGACTAAGTTGCCTGTTTAACTTACATCCATAAAATAAATTCAAGGTAACAGTTACAGTACATTAAGGATGAAAATATGTTCTTTGCCTGATTGCCAATTGTTTGCAGTTAGAAAGGATTCTTTCATATAAATGCTTGCTGCTTAATAAAATAGAGTGTTTCAATATTGGTTGTTAATTTTATTTTTATGTTTTTTAATAATTAAAATTTAGAAGTCTTACATTAAGGGTAGTTGGCTTTTAATAGCATCCAAAAATCATACTAACTAATTTTTAAAGAAATTCAATATTCATGGAGCGAGTCTCAAATTTAGTAGGGATTTACAATATATACATGGAAATAACGATTTAAACTAAAGTTTAAACTTTTATATTATGAAAAAAAAATAAAAGTAAAAAAAAAACAAATTAGTCATAATAACAAAGTTTCGTAACATAAGAAATGCATTCTAATTGAGAGATCGAATGAAACAAAACACAAAAAATCTTCTTAAAAATTAATTTTCTAAGAAAGAAAGCAATTTCATATTGAAAAATAATAAAAAAAAAAATATTTAGATAAATGGTGAATCATTTCGTGTGCCGATTTAATTTCAATAAAAAAATGTCAAATAATAAGAATTTGTGATGACGTGTCCTAGAATCGAATTGCAGTTGGTGATATTTTTAAATATTAAATAAGGGAAGTGGTGTTGTATTTGTTATGCATTATAAATATCAAAAGAATAATATTCTCTGATTTTGGTCGAATTTGCACCTCATTATTTATTAACAAATGACTAACATGAAAATTATTTTTAATTTAAAATTTTTAGATTTTCTATGCCAGTTATATTGATGTTATTCTGATTTCTGCTTGTTTAATGAAAATTTATAAATCCTTTAAATATTTTAATCGCAAATTTTAGATTTCATTAATGGTAATCACTCAATAAATCTACAGTCTTCTCTAAACTCCTTGTTATCTTCCAAATTTTTCACTAGGTTAAAGTAAAATTTTACATATTATTATTTTTCCATCTGTTAATATGCACATACCCGAATAAATTACTAGAAATGAACTTACAAATACTGATTTTATTGTACTAGTGTTATTGTTATAACAATGTTTCTTACTTTTATGCTTGCATGCATATTACTATTATAGAATATGCACTTGTATATATACATACGAGTAAATAATATGACAGTATAAATATATGGTATTAAAAGAAATGTAATGTAATTTTTTGTAACATTATTACTGTTATTATTTTATTACTGTTGTCGTACGGTTAAAGGTATTTGTATATATAGCATATTATGTATTATATGTATATGTTATACACATATTTCAATATAAAAATTTATTGTGGAAAGAAAGAAAGCATAAAATCACTACCTATCATCCTCAATATGTAAAAAAAAAAAATAAATAAAATAAAAAATTATATGTTATCATCGATGGTTTGTCTATTGAATGTCATGAAGATGATTTTCATGTCTTATAATGGTTATACTCTATTCTTTATTTATACATATCTTTAAATATATTATACAGATGGCTACTTATTGTGCATATACAATATAAATTCATTTAACAACTTAAATTGCATATATCTATGTGTATATACAAATATAGTCTATATATATATTTATTGAGAAATATAAAATTAACATGGAAAATAAGTGAAACAAGTATTATTAAAATACAATTCAAAAATCATTCAGATATCAATTCAGAGACGACCATTTTTATTGTAAATTAAATGCATGTTTAAGTATTTTAAAATCAGATTTATTTGAATATTTTCTGTGAAAGGAAAAATAAAACATTATGAATAATTATTTGTATATTCTATGTATATATTTGTTTGTATGTATTGATTTGTTTCTATTTTTATTTTCAATATTTTTAATATTTTTATTGTCAATTTCATATATTTCTATTGTATCTATATTACATTGGTGTTAAGTTAAGCATAAATTTCCTAATTTGCAATCTATAAATAGATTGCAAATTATTTGTATAACAGTAACGGTTATATGCTAAGATTTTGTTAATTTAATGAAAATAGTAAAATTTAATTTGTATAAGATTAAAATTTGGAAGAAAATTGTGTTTTCTGTAAAATTCGAAGGAAAAAGGTATCCGAGACTCATAATGGAACTTTTAAGGCAGAAGAAATTTTATTGGAAATTTTTTTTTTATATTTTGAATTTGCACTTAAATATTTTTGAGAATAATAAAATTTTCGACACTGCTAATATACTATTAGAAGAAAAATTTCATAATCTTCAATATGAGTATACAAAGTACGCTTTAATTGTCATATTTCTCGAGTTATCAACAAAATAAAGGCTTCGTAACGTGAAAAGGGGGGAGAAAGCAAAATGCCACTAGTTGTTTTTTTGTTTGTCTAGTATTTTTTCTTCCCCACGGTGACCGAGGCCCTTAGGCCCCCTCACGTCGACCCTTTAACTTTAAGCTTCTCTTATCCGATTAAGATATTCCTTATTTTTGGTTTCTTTAGTTAAATGTACATTCAATTGAAATTTAATCAATTTATTGCGTCAATTGCAATTAAATGTAGATTTATTCGGAAACTATGCATAAAATTATTATAAAAAAACAATTTTTCTTAAATTACTTTAAATCTTTAAAATAATTTAATTTTAATAGGTTTTCCCTTAATCTACCAAGTTATTGAAAAATGCCATTTTTATAGGTTATTGATAGTTACAACAATTTGATCAATTCGAATAATCAAAAATGATATTGTGAAATTTCATAAAAAATTGCATACATTTTGGGGTTTCTGTGCAATTTATGCAAAATTATTATTGCAAATCCTTTTTAATAATTTTTCATAATGCTAATAAACAATTAGAATCAATTTTTCCTTTTTCCTCCCAGATTGAATTGTAATGTTCGTAGTTTGGCACAAAACCTTTAAACTTTAACACTCTTCTTTATTTTAAGTAATCAGCCCGTTAACATCTTAAGTAATCAATATATTCCTAGTTTTAGAAATAATTATTACTAATACCTACTCGTACAAGGTACTCCACCACCCAATCATTTAACTAATTCAATTTAATAAAATTATCATTTCATAAACAAACAAAAAAATAATTAATTTAAGGAACTTGTATTAAAATTGCAATCAAATTGAAGCATAATTTTTATTAAAATCTTCTTCATATTCTTAAATATTCATAATTGCTTCATTATCCTTTTTAAAAATAATTATGATTACATTTAGTTTTTCTTTTAATAAATCTATATTAAATATTTATGTTAAATAATTTATTGTTACCAACATCATAAAATTAAATGAAAGAACGATTACTAATTATGTAATAAGAAAATTAAATGGACAGTTTTCCTTTTGGATTTGCAATTTACGATAATATGGTCTACTCTATTTTGTTTTATTGAGGAAAACTACACTATAAAATTGTGTGGTTTTTCTTTTTTAAAAAATTTTTTATATAATACGAGAGTTTTAGACATGAATTGAAAATTAAGTGCAATTTAATCTTAATTTAATAGTACAAGTATATTGTATGTGTATAAAACAAAAAAATTTATAAGATTGTGCAATTGTTGTTGTTGTATTTAATTGCATGTCATACAAATTGTTTTTTATGTATATATATAATTATATTGTATAACAAAATTCTTAACAGAAGTGATGATGAGCGGCAATCAAAAATCCTACATATTGCAATTTTGTTTTTTTACTTTCCGATGTTTTTCTTATACTTAGATTTGGTTTCTGTTTTTTTTTTTTTTTTAATTTGTTATACTCGTATAAGAGAAAGAAACTCTGTTATATAAAACTGTTTTTTAAGCGGAATTTAGTTTTAAAAAATTTTTTTTTCTATTACATTTGAATTTTAATTGCCTTTAATAAAATTAAAGAAAAACAAAAATAGAAAAAAAAACCAGCATATTGCTGCAAAATTTTGTAATTGTAGTTTTTTTTTAATAAATTTTTTTTTCTGCTCTTTTAGAATTGCCGATTCATATAAATGCGATGACCGGATATTTTGTTTTTTAAAAGATAGTTTGATTGAATTTAGATGTACGTATAAAATTTAATATTAAAAAAATCATACAAAAAAATTGAATGAATGAATGAGATCCAGAAGAATGTTGACCTCATCAGTTAACTTTAAGTGAAAAAAATTGAAAAAAAAAAAAGAAAATTACAACAGCATTTAACATTGATTCGGAACAATTAAAAATAAAAAAGTGATTACTGTAAAATCATCGCTTATTATTAAATCATTGCTATGCGTTTTACTGTTAAAATTATTGTCGTTTATTTCAATTATACTTTTTAATCGAAAATACGAGTATTTAATTTAATTAGTAAGTTTTTTTTTTTTGTATTATAGAATTTGCTTTTTGACATGAATGTGTAAATCACGACATAAATTATTTAAACTGTGATTTTATCAAGAAATATTTTTAATATGTATTAAAGTGGTTCAACTTCTTAAAGATCGGTTCGAATATTGTATAGTGATAAGGGTCTGAATGTCAAATTTATAATTTAATTTATTATTGTCCAATTTACTTGTAGACAATATACAAAAATCTACAATTTCAATACTTAATAATAATATTTTTACAAATTCATAATCCTGTTAATATTATTAAGACGCTTAATGACACAGAATGGGCCTATTTACACTTGTATACATTAAGCGAATTCACAGCAATTATTTTGTGCTTCTCACAGACTCTCTTTTACAAATTATTAAATTTTATTTTTATATATAAGAGAAAGCAGAAAGCAGAAGGTTAATGCATACGCTTAATATATACACGTGTAAATATTCCTAAAATGAACTTGTCAACATTAAGCAGAAATTATTTTATTTCAAATTTATATTTTTAACCACCAGAGTGCAGTAATGAATTCACTTGAATACCAATATACAAAAAAGTTACTAATTGCATACCCACTATAGTAGGGTAAAAGTATAAATTGAAATATTTTTGTTTTTTTGACATTTTGACAAAATAATGTTGACATATTTCATAAAAGTGGCAAAAGATAATTGATTTCATATAAAATTTTTAAAATTTAAATTAATTTTAATTTGTGGAAAACTACTTACGAATACATTTTCCACAATTCCTGTGTTGTACGTGTTTATATGCACATTGAATTTTAACTGGTTGTTTTGTGCCACATCATATAGAAAGCACATACATATATATATAGCTTTATTTTGCTCTCAAATTAACAAATTGAAATGAATTTAGAAAATTCTTTAAACTAATATTTTCATTTAAGTATAGTATTTTATAGCCTAAAATAGTACAAACCAGAAATTTAAGATTCCATAAATACCATCTAATATTACCCGCTGTTTTACCATTTAACTTAAATGTTTTGTTATTATTAATGCAATAACAAGTAACAAACATCTCATTAAAAAAAAAAAATAAAAAACAAAAGCAAAAACAAAACTTTTTCCATAATAAGAAAAATTTTAATATGACGACATCTATAAATTGATGTAGGAAAAAAATGATTTCTATGGTCAAGAAAATCAAAAATGGTGTTTTGTATTTCGTTTAGAATATTTTTCTTTTTTTATATATAAATATAAAATATTCTTATATCTATTTCTCTTTTTAGTATTTTCAGTTCCAAAGAATTTTTCTATTTTCTAGGAATAAAAAACAAAATTGAAGAAAAAGAGCACAATATTACAAATCTTTTTTTTGAAAAAAAAAACAAGGAAATTTTTAACTGTGCTTACGAAATAAAAAAGAAGAAATAATTTAGAATTAAATATAAGAAAAATTCTCATTTAAAAAAAAAATAAACAAGTTAGTCGAAAAAATCCTATTATATAATTAACAACGATTAAAGAAATATGTTGATAATTCAGTGGGTAATCTGGGATTTTCATTAAAAAGATGGCTGGATTTTTAAAAATTGAACCACATGTTGAAAATCCAATTGAACCACAAAATTGAACGAGAGACACAGTCAGACCCGGTTCTGACTTGTTCGGGTCCCTACACAGTTTCCAGAAAGTGCACACTGCGCATTATAAATCACTTTCTTATAACTTTATCGTGCTGAATGCAAGATTAGTCATAGAATTAAAGGCTTTTATTCAGTGTTTTGTTTTCAGTTTTTAATGGCGTCGCTTCTTTCAGGTACCCATTGCAGATGCTTACTTTACATATGTTGTAGATCCGGCGCTGGATACAGCCAATAATTAGAATAATTAGATAAATGTAGGGTGAAGACAAAATAATATAAGATATTTTTAAAATTTTTTCTGTAATTAAATATTAAGAATAATATCTTCTGTAATTTGTGCCATTCAATTTCGAATTTAATTTAAATATTGCAATCAAATTACATTTTAGGCGACCGTATATTTCTAATGTATAGATTTAGAATGGCGAACGGATAACGAGAAAACAAATTTAAAATTTTAATATAATTTTCTGAATCTGTAATTTTCTTTGAATGAGAAAATTATTTAGGGACGTCAAATCGTTCATTTTGAAAACATAAAATTAATTGCGAACCGAACGTATTTTATAGTACTTTTTGTACTTACGATCACGTAAGTGAGAACTCGTTTAGTACAAAAGTTTTAGCCACATTTTTTAAATTGAATTGCAAAGAACAAAATTGAGCTTCAAGTAAATTTCTAATGATCAAAGCGCATTGGACTACTTTTTTTTTTAATGAACTAATTATGACTTCTGATTCTACTAACTGCTCTATATGTATATTGTGTCATTTTATTATTTGGCCTTTATTATTAATTATAAATATTAATCAGCATTGTATTATTGGTATAGATTTAGCATTGCAACTATTGAGCCAATAAAACTCAAATTTGTAAAATGATCGGAGCTGAAATTTTTTGTCAGTCTATTGTAATATAGATCGCCCATCACCAAATCGCATTTTTTACGCAATACAAAAAAAAAAGGAAAATGAAAAAAGCTAAAAAGGAAAAAGAAAATATTAAAACGTGTGAAATGTATTTCAAATGTTTCAAAAGACGAATGAGAAGGCAAAACGAAAAAAAAATTCAAATATAATATAAAAATGGTCGTCTATTCTCTATGTATGTATGTATGTATGTATAGCGAATAAACTTCTTACGTTTATGGTTCAAATTAGCTTTTTTTAGAAGCATTTTAACCATTTTTAATTTTTTTTTACTTATTCTTTTTTGTCAATTTTTTTTTGTTCTTGTTTTTTGTTGCTTTTCTAAACAGCTATTCAATTCTTTTGGTTTTTTTTTATCATATAGTTTAGCTACTTTATAAATTTTTACCTGTATTGTTAAGGCTAGAAATCTAGTAGAAGTTAAATTTAATTCTATTAAATATTTGCAGCAGAAACAAGAAAATCAGAGAGAAAACAAAGCAAAAAGAAAGCAACGTTCTTATAATTTCTATTGCAACCGTTAGGTAAAATAAAAAGAAAAAAATTCTTTTTGTTGTTGTTTTTTTTTTCACCATTTTTACCGCTTTATTCGCACTCGCTAAAAATTGTTTTTTCTATTCGCGGTTTAATGTTAAAATTCTGATTGACTAGCTAAACAACTTTTTCTTGCAAATTTTAGTTGTTTTTTTTTTTTTTTTTAGTGTTTAAACATTTTTTTAACTTTTTTGCAACAACAACAACGGCAACAAATCTCTATACTCAAATCATAACAAAATATTTTAACAATTGATTTTCATATATTCTTCAGTTGAACACATTCAACACACATTCATCTCTTTCATCTATTCTATTCATCTATCCATCAGTTTATCCAGCCAACATCCATTCAAATAGTCAAGCTATCATCTATCTTTATGCAATTTAAAATTTTAATATACAATAAAGATATGAAAAAAAATATGGCAAAAAAAAAAAGGTAGAAATCATAGGAATGAGTGCAAGAATCGACCGAAACTTGATGATTGAAAATAATTTTTTTTTAACAAAAAAGAATATAAAATTTTTTTGTTTGTTACCCGTATGTTCGATGCTAATCTTTAAATCATATTGCAACGCCACTTTAAAACATAACAACTATAACTTAATATCTACATACTAAAAAAAAAAAAATTTTCATAACTGGAAATTATTAAAGTGATTGAAATTTTGAGCTCAACTGTAGGATAATATTGCGGATGTGGACAACCAAAGATTAAGAAGAATAATAATTAAATAGTTTAAAAAAAATTACATTATTCAACATTTTGTTAAAATTATCTTCTAATTTTTAAAAAATATTATGAAGAGGTGAAAAAAGTCCGACATCATCTTTAGTTCGTCACAAATGTACGAAATGTACGAAATATTAAAGGGCAATGATCCAAACCATTTTAGCATTTACATAATTGTAAAGTTTCTTTTTCGGCTATCAAACCTATATTCAAATTCGAGCATATACCTTGACACGATCTCAGTTTGAATTTTTTATTGAATTTATTACCAATATGGAAGATTACATAATGAACGAATCAAGAATGATGCCATTCACATTCTCTCAGTGTACAAAAATCATAAAAATTGCATATTATTTTTTTATTGTTTAACGAGATTTAGAGAAATTTAAATTTTACCGCAACCTCTATAAAAAAACTAACGACTAACAAAGAGAAAAAAGAGTAAGATGTGGAAAAAAGAAATGAGAAAACAATGAAACAAAAATTTCAAATTTAAATTTGCTTATCTGTCAAATTTTTAATAGTTGCTACTTTTGATGAAGGCCAACACCTTGGAAAAAATTGGTTAGAAATTGTTTTGTTTTGTGTTCTTATTTTTTATTTTTACAGATACAGGCAAATTTTTCAATACATTTTTTTAAATTTCTTTGACTCCAAAATTTTAGGTCTTTGTTCCTTATTCTTCAGGAACAATAGTGACGTTGAAAATTTTTAGTATTGCAAAGCATTATCAAATTAAGATATCACAAAAATATTCTAGAATATGATGCTTTGTTAATTCCAGCTGGTTACGACAGCAGCCTCACTGATAATTAATTGGAGTTCATATAAAAAATTTCTACTTTTTAATTATTTCGAAACCCTAAT